ACATCAATGAGAGAGAAACATCGATCAGCTGCCTCCTGCACACTCCCTACTGGGGATGTGCCCGCAACCAAGGTTCATGCCCTTGACCGGAATCAAACCCGGGACCCTTCAGTCCGCAGGCCAATGGTCTAGTCTATCCACTGAGCCGAACCGGATACGGCCTGCTTATAATTTTAAAAACAAGCCCAGCCCACATGGCTCAGTGGTTGAGCGTCGATCTGTGAACCAGGAGGTCCCGGGTTCGATGCCAGGTCAAGGGCACAGGCCCGGGTTTCGAGCTCGATACCCAGTAGGGGGCGTGCAGGAGGCGGCCGATGCATGATTCTCTCTCATCAGGGATGTTTCTCTCTCTCTCTTCCTCTGTGAAATCAATTAAAAATATATTTAATAAAAGCAGCCCTTGCTGGTTTGCCTCAATGAATAGAGCGATGGCCTGCCGACCAATAAAATAAATTAATAAAATAAAATTGTTTCTCTCTCATTGATGTTTCTAACTCTCTATCCCTCTCTCTTCCTCTCTGAGTTAAAATTAATAAAATAAAAAAATAAAATAAATAAAAAAGAAACATATAAAATAATAAAATGAAATGAAATAAAATCAATGCGGGCGTTACCTGGAGAGAGCCGAGGTCCCTGAGCGCCCCGTCGGGGATGCTGGGGATGTTGTTGCCGTGGAGCAGGAGCAGCTCCAGCTTGGTCAGCCCCGCGAAGGAGGTCTCCGACACGGCCTGGATGCTGTTAAACCTGAAACCCGAGCACGCGGAGGAAGACACAGTGAGCGTGTCCGCCCCGGACATACGCGACTCCTCACGCACAAACAAGAAGCCATGGGACGACATCAATAAAAGAAAAAAGAAAAATTAAAAATAAAAAAATAAAATGAATAAAAAAATAAAAAATTATAAAATAATAAAAGAAATAAAAGAAAAATATAAAAAGTAATATTTTATTTTTTCATTCTCACCTGAGGATATTTCCCCTTTAATTCTCACAGAGAGAGGGAAAGACAGAGAGAGACATCGATGTGAGCGCAATACATCTAGGGGTCGCCTCCTGCACGCGCCCTACTGGGCTGGGGAGGAGCCTGCCTCCGAGGTCCGTGCCCTTGACAGGAATCGAACCCGGGACCCTTTGGTCTGAAAGCCGCCGCTCTATCCACTGAGCCACACCAGGGAGGGCAATAAAAAATATGTAAAAAAGAAGAAAACGGAAGCACCTAACTCTAGAAAGGGCGATTCTTAAAGGAACACACACACACATCCAGTTACGCACAATTACGCACAATTATTACGCACAATTACGCACACAGGTCCGCCCTCCATCCTTAGTTAAACCAACCAGGAAGGGCATTAAAAAATATGTAAAAAAGAAGAATACGGAAGCACCTAATTCTAGAAAGAGCGATACTTAAAGGAACACACACACGCGTCCAGTTACGCACAATTATTACGCACAGTTACGCACACAGGTCCGCGCTCCATCCTTAATTAAACCAACCAGGAAGGGCATTAAAAAAATATGTAAAAAAGAAGAAAACGGAAGCACCTAACTCTAGAAAGAGCGATTCTTAAAGGAACACACACACACACGTCCAGTTACGCACAATTACGCACAATTATTACGCACAGTTACGCACAATTACGCACAAAGGTCCCCAATACACCCGCAGACCGGGAGCCCCACGTGCGCGCGCGCCAAGAAGGCGGTACCGACCCCAGGTTGATCCTCTCCACGTGGCTGGCGATGCCCGCGGGCACGGCTGCCAAGGACCGGAACGTGCAGTGGACCTCGGTGGGCAGGGAGCAGGAGCAGGGGTGCGGGCAG